AGATAATTAGCTTATATCTTGATATTTCAATAAAAATTTCAAACCTTTTATATTTTAACTCAATATAAGAGTTTACATCAATAAGTAGATTTCAAATATAATCATACTTCTATAGTCTCATCATTTTAAGACTTTTATGTCAATTCATAAATATTTATATGAAGTTATTTCATCATGGCCACTATTGATAATTTTTTATTATCATGAACAAAACCATTTTCATCGCCCAAATGGATCAAATAGCATTCTTTTTGCTATTATAAAAGTTTTCAAATTCATAAGATCTTTGAATCACTCATGGCTTCTAAAGTAAATATACTTTGAAATTTTTACTATATAAAATCATAGATGATAAATCATTTTTACAATCCATGAATTAGATTATATACATAATAAAAAATTACCATAATGTGATCAATATTGTGGCATCAATTTTGGCTTATGGCTATTTTAAACCAACCATAATAATCGACCTCATACCTACAAATTATGTAGATTTGACTATTAAAATTATCTCATTTATAATGATGGCTTTTAGTGAAAACCATCTCAAATGTCATCATAAGTTTTTAATGCATATAGTAATTACCCAATGGCCAATTCCAAGTTCTTGATTATTGAAATCTCGAAACTTAATTTTAAAATTTTATGAGAACTTTATTTCTCCACCATTGTGTAGCCTATATATCTCTGTTATTTATCATTTTTAATTGATCAAAACATTTTTGGATATATAATAAATTCAAACTTTATTCATAGGACTAATATGCTTATATACAATAAAAGTCTATAGTATATTTAACTTTAATTTCAAATAATTTCACAATCATTTTGTGACCAAAATGTTCATATCTAAATCACAATATCAATGCAAGTCATGAAATATGAATCCAAAAAATCATTTTTATAAAATAGTACAAACAATAATTATAATATGAGTTCTACTCATATTTCATGCAAAAATTCATGATGAATTTACATTGGTTAAATCATTGATTGGCTAACTCTAAGGCTTACGGCTTTCACAAACCAATATTATTATCTAAGCCCGTATATTAATATGGTATATAACCAGTCACATCCTTGTCATTATCATGAAACTATTGAAAACCTCATAAACTTGTTTACTTTTTATTTTAACAACCAGTAAAAGGTTTTTTTTTTTTTGTACAAGAAGCAAAAATACCTTCATTATCTATAACCAATAATGTTTTAATTGGATGATGGCATTCTATCTCCATAGTCCATATCTTTCTTATATGTATAAGAAAGAAAATTTCATCTCATTTAGTTCATTTTCGCAATATATGGCAAACTGTACCAATGTTCTTCATGCCGTCACAAAATAAAATCAAACACATACATGTATTTCGTACCTTTAGAACATTAAATTTGTATGTTCTTTTCTAATTTATAAACATGCCTAATTAGACATTAATGAGTATCCTTCAAAATGCTAGTAACATATAAATGCTTCAATATTTTTCTTTAATGGCATACCTTTTTCGTTTAATCAATATCTCACATGTGAAAAGCAAAAATGTTTTTTTATAATCATTGATTAACTCTTTGATGGCGTTTTATGATTTTCACTTTGTGATTGTTCACAATAAAATTTTATTTTGTAAAATCATTTCTAGTTTAATACACCCAGCAAGTAAAATACATGCCACATTGCCAATGTTTGTGATAATAATCATTATTTGGTTTATTATCCACCAATTAATCTATGAAACATCATATCTTAATTATAATTATTCATGTATATCAATTTAATTTTAATTGGTTTTCATGAAAATTGAACACTAGTCAAAATTTGAACTAATAATGAATTTAAAACATATATATCAACCTTTGATTTATAAACAACCAACAAAAATAGAACTATACAAATAGTTTGACTCAACTTATTATCTTAATTTTGGTGCCATGATTTAAAAAAAAAAAAAAACTAAGTTTGTAGCCAAATCTTATTTTCTACATATATTCTTCACTTACATCTAATTTTTCATGGTAAATTCCTTTACTCATTTCCAATTATTTTTATAGAAACTATGAGACAATTTACTTGTTTTATATATAACAAAGACATGATAATTAAATAATCGACCATTCCATTAAGACCCAATTTAATTCTTTACTTGATAACAAGTGATCATTTTTTTTTTTTTTGTAGATCAATTATGTTTTTCTCTTTTATGTTTTCAGGCTATTTCCCATATTAGTCTTTATAAGTATCAATTTTTTAAATAAATATAAGACAATTCATTAAACTCAATTGTGAAGTCATTTTTAATATATGCATAATTTTATGTAATGTAATCAATGTTTTGCATATTGTGTTTTAATTTTACATACTAATGAAATAAATTGTTAACGTATTTATCTTATTCAATCAATCTTTTTACTAGCAATTATGCAAAAAATAAAACAAACTTTAATGAAGATCTTTATGAAAATTAACATTTTGGTCCGTAAAAACATTAATCTTTTGACACCTTGAGCCTTCTCTAATATTGATCTTCAAATCATGTCAATTTTTTTCTTGTATCTTCTTTTGTGAGAAATATAAATTTCTCATAATTATCTTTAAATTATTAGAAAAAATAAATAAAAAAAGAGAAATAATAGAAAAAAATATTGGCTTTGAGATGTGAAAAACACTTTTTTAAAAGCAATTATGCTTTTAGGATACAATAAAGTTTCAAATTCTCTAATTAAAAGTAGTAAAATAGTTATGCTCAAAGATCTATTTATAATGAATGAACAGACATAAACTTTTATTTATATGGTTATGACATTTTATATAATCATGACTTTTATGAATAATAATTTATTTATAATCAAATAGTTATGATAATCTGTTATATAATAATTATTTTTGTTCAAACATAATTATTTAAAATATAAATAAAATTAATACAAAAATTAATTTTATTTATAAATAATTAAATCTTTCTATTTAATGTGAAATGCACCATATTTTAAACCACTAATATATATACATTTATATATATATATATATATATATATATGATAAAGCTTTTCAAACTTAATTTAGTTCTACATTTCAAACTTTTTCTTTGTCCCCGATCCAATAAAATAGAGTTCAAACTTGGACGTCTCCAACCTTTGTTTTTTTTTTTTTTTTTTGGTCAATAATCAGCTTTCTCTTTTGTGTGGTCAAAGTTCATTTATTTTTTCGACTTTTAGAAAAATAAAATAAAATGTTTATTCTCCTAAGACTTTCCAGGTGATGGCTAAGTTTTCCTTAGCATCCACTATGTATCAAAAATCAAAGATTCTTTATTCTATAGCCTTCTCTAAATCTGTAGGAAGTACTACCTTGGAAAAAAAAAAAAACTAAGAAATTAATTAAGACAATATTAAAAGCACAAATTTTAATTTTTCAAATGTTTAAAATAATTTTTCAAATGAAAAGAAAAACTTAAAATTCAATTTTCATGCATAACAATAATAAGTTTAATTTACATATGAAATTATTATCTTAATTTTATAAAAAATTTGTAATAATTTTTTTTTGTACAAATGAGAATAGCTTTTGAACAAAGAAAGAGATTATAAATGATGGGATTTGGATACTAAATCTATTATATATCATCTCTTAAAAATAATTATATAAATTAACTAAAATAAACTCCCTATTCACCAATACTTTATTTATGTTCAATCAAATATAATTTCTATTACTTTTCTTTTACTTTACACATTTTAAAAGGAAAAAAAATAAAAAATAACAAACAAATGAGATATCTTTCTTAATGAAAGATGGTAGGTTCAACCATACTCATCCATAGGATCATTAATAGAAAACAAAGGATTGAGATTCATGCATAAACTCAACTTTTTTTTTTGGGGGGGGGGGGGGGTAAACAACATAGATTTCTGCAGAGTAAAAGTCATTAAGGTGACAACAAAGTAAAAGTCAACTTTTGAATATTCAAAGTTCCAAATTTCTGCATAGATTTTCTTCTATGGGGCACATTGGATTTTTCCAAACAACCATATTGAAAGAGATAACTGCTTTTTAGAGTCTGAAAGAATAGACCAAAAGATCATGACTCAGATATATCCAATAACAAAGGAAACTTTAAAATTTTGTTTGTGTTCAACTTTTCATGCATCATACTTCGTAGTTCATACCTGCCAAAGGGTATTGTGAATCTGATGGCACCTTTTTCTCCCAGTGAAGCATGGTTCGGTTAGACAGAATAAGTGAAGAACCTTCCCTCGCACAAAGTCAAGAAAATAACTGAATAAAAAATTGAGCTAGACAATATTTGAGAAGAAGCAGAGCAAACTGACTCCTTCACAGATCACAGACTTTGCCATTTGCTTGACTAAATGCTTTGATTTGTTTGGCTATATCTTCTGTTATAGCCAAACAAATTGAGCTAGACAATATTTGAGAAGAAGCAGAACAAACTGAGTCCTTCACAGATCACAGACTTTGCCATTTGCTTGACTAAAAGCTTTGATTCGTTTGGCTATATCTTCTGTTATCCTTGGTTTCAAACAAAAACCAATTGGAATAATCATTTCTTGAAACCTAATCTCTTAATTATTTCCTAAACATGTTGTTTACATTGTTAACAATCAACTATTCTAAGCTTAAGTATGATCAACTTTAATAATATGAATTAGTTATGAACTATGACTGGTCAACTTGTTTTAATTAAGGAAGAAAATCTCCTCATTCCTCAGGCAAACATTTATCTCTCGCCAAAGGAACCTCCTCAAAGACCAATTTTTATGGATAATTCATGTTTCGGTTAAAATATGCCTTTTTGCATGCCATTTTGTTTTATAGCTTTTTCATTTTAGCAATAATTTGACTTCTTTTGTAGTTAAATCAACAATTGAGTTTTTACAATTCCTTTTCAAAATTCTTACTTATGAAAATTTTTAATAAGTCAATGTTTTAAAATGGTTTTTTCAGTAAACTGTCAAAATCTGTTTGCAGAGGACCTGCAAATGACAATTTAAGCAAGGGAAAGGGAGTACATATCTATTTCTTCATATCACCCATCTTTGCTTCCTATGATACATTCATAATAGTTTACCAATTAGGCGGCAAGATATATAGGAAGAGTAATTGAACAAGTAAGTATTACTCCAATGACGCAGAAAGATTGAACAAGTATTTGAGCTTTCATTAAACTACAATGCTTATAGAATGTGACCTTATCAATCCTTTGCTAGAATCACTGAATCACCTCCGAAGGGATATGTGAAAAATTAATATTAATCAATCATATGTATTACCATCACCAAATGACTTACAACAAGCAAGAACATGTCAAACAATAAAGGAAACACATGTATAGATTATGGACACTCAAAAACAACAATCCAAAACAGACGAGCTTGCCTAGCATATATTTTGATTGGAGTACGCTTCAGTTTCTATTCAAAGCTCTCTCCAACCTTGTCTCAAATGGTGTAGAATGCCAATTTACGTTCTTATCCTGCAAATAACAGAAACTCAATCAGAATTCCATCATCAATAAAACTTTCCTCAGCTCTCACTTCACGTATACCTCTCTGTACTTGCTGGTAGTGTTTGGTATTCCTTTGAAGGAAGTAGCTGAGCCAGAGTCCTTGGTGGTGCTGCTCACATGACTCCAATAGGTCCCAACGGTTCCAATTATAGGCATCTCATCTGGACTTCTACTTGGAGACTTCCTAGGTGGAGAAGATGCTGAAAACTTATTTATCTCTTCAAGAGTTAATGCACCTAAAATAGGTCTATCTTCAGGGCTCCTCAGTGAATTTGATCCTTGTGACATGCTTCTCTCTGGTGTACTAGCATCGGAAGTGCTACTCTTTTTGACAGGTGTAGGCTCCGTTGAATACAACCAATTCGAAAGGCTGGCATCGACTGATACTCCTTCATTCAACTTCTTCGGTTCATGATCAGATTTTGATTGGAAACCGAATGAAAAGTCATTGAAACTAGTGTCCAAGCTAAACGAAAGCCGGGGCTCTTCTTGCTCTAAGCTGAGATTCTCCTTTTGCAGTTTAAATGGTGTTGCCCCTTTTGCTTTCACAGCTTTCCATTGAGTTAGATTTTCGACAGGATTCAGCAATGGATGAACATTACCACTCCTACCTCGAGCGCCTCGAATTAAACCAATCGGCTTCACTTCCTCTTCAATCAAACCATCAACCTCCTTAGTGATACCTCCATGGCCAGGAATTCTATCTCTTGAATCCACAGCTCCGTCATCAAAATCCTCATAAGCATCATCTAGATCACTTTCTTCATAGTCTAATTCATCTTCTTCGTCGTCACTTTCTCTACAATTCTGATATCTATGATTAGGAGGGTAAGAACTTGAGCTAGAAGTTATCCAGCTATGCTCAGAGGAAGTATCATACTCCTTTGGTTTAGCCAGATTCTCTTTCTTTTCCCCTTCTTCTTCTTCATTATCCAATTGAAAATCGCTACTTTCATCAACTAAAACATGCTCATAGGTCTTAATATTAGCATCAAAAGTTACTTTCTTTCGAGTACTTGAACCCGAACTCAGCTGCTCCTTTGCCTTATCATCCCTAATCAAAACCCAAAGAAAAAGCAAAATTGCTTTATCAAATCTAATGCATCATTCTGAAAGAAAAAAAAAAAGAAAAATGAAAGCCCCATTAATTTTACTCACCGAACTTCCTTAGCCGGAGTGATAGGCTTTTCCAAGTTGCTCCGTTCCAAAGAAATTGTAGATTGAGCATTGTAACTAGCATTTCTCTGCAGAAAATTTGATAAATTTCATGAGACTAAAAATACCCAAGTGTATTAAAATCCATAATTTCCCATAAAGAAGTACGAAAAGAAAACTTACTTGAAATCGAGGCTGAACCTTGTGTCTCCGTTTTCGAGTCTTGCGATGGTTGGAAGAACCAAAACATGCAAGAAAACAACCCATTCCAAGAATCTCTCCTCTTCTTCTTCTTCTTTAACTGTACTTTGATTCTTAAAAAAAAACTTTCAATTTCTTTTTCTTGGGTGTTTCTTCCTTTGTCCAGAAAGAGAAAGTTTTTCTTTGGCTTAACGGGTCTTCATGGTTTTGGAACAGAGAGAAGAAGAAGAAGTGGAGCGCTTTGAGAAAAGAAAAGAAAAAAAAAAGGATAGGGACAAAACGGTCAACAGATTTGTTATTGAGAGAGGGAAAAAGGAAGTGACCGTTACAAATCATTGATTATGAGTTACAGGCTGTAATTTTGGTTTTTTATTTTTTGTTATCTTTTTCTTAAAATTAAAATAATAGTAATAAGGTTTTTCTTGACCGTTAATATCCCCTCATTGGTGATAGGTCCCACATCTATGATTTTATTTTATTTTTTATTGGGATTTTAACCGTTCAATTAAACAAGGGGAGAGGTTTTAATTTTTATTAAAAAGCAAATCTTTTTGATGGATCAAACATTAATTTTGATCAAAATGCCACAACTTAATGCATGTGATCCCTTTATCTTTTCACAATTATGATTGTGATTTTTTTTATTTTTTATGTAAAGACTGCCAAAGAATTATACATATCAAAATTTAAAATTGAAATTTATTAAATATTAAAAAATAATTGCACTTTAAATTTTAAATTTTAATTTAATTGATTTGGAAAAAAAATTGTTGAAAGCTTTATTTCTTAAATTTTAATCTTTTAATTATTTTTCCATGATTTTTAGTTTTTCCTGCCAAAAGAAAATTAATAAGTTTTTTTTTTTTTTTTACAAATTAATAGGGCTTTACGAAAAGGAAATTGTATAGGTTTATTTACGACAAATAGTTCATGAAAATAAGGAAATCCCTCGGATTTAAATTGAATATTTAGTAAGAACCCTCTTTCCCTCATTTTGCAAGAAACAAACGACTTGTTGCAGTTTTCCTCCAGCAAAAAAAGAAAAAAAAATAGTGTTTTTTCAAAATGAAAAACCTTTTCAATGGGTATGTATTAAGCTTGTGTAAAATAACAAAAGAAAAAGAAAACATTGGGGTGAGAGAGGCTCGAACTCTCGACCTCAGGATAACTCAAACAGCTATGAGACCTACGCGCTAGCCAACTGCGCCACCACCCATATTGGATTTTGTTGAGCATTTTAAACCTATAACAACAATTTTAACAAAAATAATGTTTGCACATTCCCCTGCTCTTCACTGCTTTACAACCAGAAAAAAAAAATTAAAAATTTGTATTTCGACCAATAATTAATATATTTTAGCTCACAAAATATGTGAAGCATTTTTTTTTAACTTTGATTTTTTTAAAAGTATTATTAGTTTATAAAAAGAGCTAATCCTATCAATTACTTACAGAGTTAGTGTGTTTGTAGTGAAAATAGTTACTACAATTATCAATTTAGAGTTTTACTTTGTTTTAGATGCTTCACCAATCCAATCTCATTTTACTCATTGGTACCTGCACAACCTAATTTGTGACCCAAACATCTAATAAAATCCAGTTCCTACCCAATTTCTTCTGGTCTGAGAAGAAACCACGAAAAGCCCAGCTCAAAAGATGCATGATATGACAATATTTCAATGAAAATTTATCGCAAGTTCTGATGAGACAGCTAACAAATCAGTGTTGTCAAGCTAAAATCACTAGCTTGTCATTCTTTCGTTAGCTGACAATAGGCTGCAATTTATATGCTGCGATTGATTCCAAAAGCCATGTGTGGCCAATGAATTGACCCCCTATTTTCGTGGCTAAAGCCTGTGCTTCACTGACTCTCTGCCAAATAATTGACCCTTCTTCTCCTAACTTAGATCCTCTGGTTGCATCCAGACTATACACAACAAACATCCTCGTTTGAACTGCCTGCTCACAATTACTCTGTTGCACTATTTCTTCCTCCTTTCCTCTCATAACAGTACCCCCTGCAGCAACAATCAAAATTTGAAGATCTTCCATGTAACCAGACACAAAGTCACCCACAAAATAAAAGCTAAAGCCATCAAAGAGCTTTGTTGCCTACAAAAGAATCGATTAAACAAGTTATTCAATTGCAAATGGGAAATTAGCATCCAAGAGTATCAATAAACACAAGCAAGTTTTTATCATAAGGAAATTAGCTTGATACTTTCCAATATCTAGCTACTAAAATGATACAAGAAAAAAGATACTCAAACTGTCAAACACATACGTTATCCAATGCCCTGAATCTGCCAGTTTTAGGGCCATCAGAACACCCATGGCTGTCAAGACCAACTCCATAAGGTTCTTCATTCACAGGACGCGTAGTTTTCATGCATGCCTTTATCCCTGTAAAGTCAAGCTTACAAATTGTATCAGTGGTGACAATACAAGTTATTCTTTTTGGGTACAGAGATTGAACTTTAACCAGCACACCAGCAATGAAAGAAATGAAAAACGTGGCCCACAAACAACAATTGAACTTACAATCAATTTTAAGAACCCACTTCCCGTTTGAAATGGTCATGAGAACCTTAAGTGTCATGTGACACGAAATGAGACTTAAATTTTAATTCATTTCAAAATTTAAACATTTATTTATTCGATATTTTAAATCGATTTATATTTTTATGAGATATTATTCGTATTAATTTTTTAATTTCACAATTTTATTTTACAAAAAAATATTTCACAAATGTGAATTTTTATATGCTTCAATGATCTCTCTTTTATATTTAATGTAATATTTAAAACTCTTCTTTGAATTCGTGATACATACACCACTCTCATCCGTAGAAGCAATCACATGAGTCACATTGGCTTCCAAAACTTGGTTACAGTTGCACCAATATTTTTTGCAAACTTGTCCACAGGAAACTGCAACAAGGTTAAAAAAACCAAATAATTAAATATCAGTATCTTTAGTAGGGATGGCAACGTATTTTTTTCATCCTTAATTTAATATGATTTGATATTATATAAAATATATTTGATTCAATTCGATTTGAATTAATAAAATATTTTTAATATAAAATATTATTTTTAATATAAAATTAAATAAATATAAAATTAAATAATATATAAATATAAAATTAAATAATTAATTAAAAAATAATTTATATATATTAAGTTAGAAAGTTTGATTTTGCTTAAAATCTGATTTTTTTTTTTATTATTATTCAATCCGATCCAAAACTCAGATTAGATCAAAACTGGCAAGAACAAACTGAACTGCATCCCTAATCTTGAGTGACTTTGATACCGTATGAGAGCCAATTATTGTTATATTGTTATGAAAAAGAAATGCCTATGAAGGATAGTCTATCATAAAAGAATTTCCAAATTAGATTTTGTGTATCCTACAAAATTATCCATCATGAAACTTTTTAACCACAAAAAGGAGCCAATTCGAAGATTCAACACTAGAACAATATCAACATTTTTAAGGTTCTGACCTTTCAAAACAAGTCAAAGACACAGTAAAGAATAAAGATAACTACTCATAACTTATAAATGATTTCAAACTCAATACAGAAACATGGGTTTCATCTAATCTGACCTTCTCAGAAGACAAAGCAGATCCACAAAAAACCCATTCCTTTTTTTCATCTGGCTGGCCCCAAAAAAAGTTAGAATTTGGCAGGCTACTGCGTGCAGAACCACTACCAGTTCACTTTCCAGACAATTCAATAATCAGTTTATAGCTTTATCCATAAATAATTAGAAAAGACTAAAGAAATTCCAATTTCCAAATAATTTGGCTTCTTTTTTCTACCATTTCTTTCTTCTAGAGTGAATCAAAATGAAATATAAAATAGTAACTCCTTAAAAAAGTATGCAAATAATGTGTAGACCTGTGAAAGATATCTAAGATATTTCATTTTATTAATCACACATCACAAGATATAAGAAATTGTGAATATACCTTTCAGTTGGCATGCTATAAAAGTATTAACACATTTGCAACAGTCCATTTGCATATATATATATATATATATATTCAATCATTAATGGGTTTTAAAAAAATTCAATTAATCAATTAAAATTTTGTTTTATCAAGTCAGGACCGGAGCTCAGTTTCGGGTCGAGGTCGCTGGAGACGGAGGACATTCCGGAGATGGTGTTGGAAAGAGAGGCGTTCTCCATATCTGGAGGTTGTGGTCTTGGAACCGGAATCTAGTGGTAGACGTTGAAAAAGATTCCACGGGAATTCTTTACCGTGAAACAAACGCGATTAAATTTCAAATTGTGTGAAAAAATAAAACCTGACTTAAAGATGCGTAGAAGTGTGCCGTTTGGAGCTATGTGACGTCGTTTTGTGTCATTGCCGTCGAGAGATAGAAAAGAGCCAGCTTCGGTTTTTTCGCTGCTTTGAAGTTCCTATTTTCTGTTTTTGCTTCTTGTTTTTTGGCGCCACGGAATGTTGTTAGTTAAACCTTAAACGGCGCCGCCGTAGCTAAAGTCCAATTCAGGTCGGGTTCGACTAATTATACAGCATGTTTAGTTTAATGAACCCGATTTATCCCAGGATGCAATCCAACCCGGCCCAATCCCTATTAAACTCTCATCTAAAACGCAAAAATAGTACGTCGTTTGGAACAAAACAGAAACTACTTGACAGAGGGGCAGAACGGGAAAAAAAGAAAAGAGCAAAGTAAAAGGACCAAAAATTCCAACTTCCTCGAGGGAAAGTCAGTCGTCAAACTTTTTTATATGGCTGCTGGGTCTGCGAAACAAGAGACAGAGAGAGATAGAGAAAAATCATGGGCGGAGAAGAACCAGAACACCGTCGTTTAGCGATCACTCTGGTGGCGGTTCTTCTCCTGGGAATTTTAGAACTCAGCGAAGGAGAGTTCAAAGGAGACTATTCAAAGATATCGGGGATAATAATCCCAGGATTCGCTTCAACTCAGTTAAGAGCATGGTCCATTCTCGACTGCCCTTACTCTCCCCTTGATTTCAATCCCCTCGACTTGGTTTGGCTCGATTCTACTAAAGTAATGAACCCTCTTTTTGGCCTCTTTTTTGGATTCTACGGTTTTTTTTTTTATTTATCTTTTATGCGTAGATTCTGTGTGATTCTTGCGACCCATTTGTGGAATTCTTGAAAATGAAACAAATGGCAAGAAAAGAGGATACCCAACAAAAAAAAGTTAGAAAATGTAAAAGTTCGGTTGGTTTATGAGCCTTTTCTTTAAGATTCTTTATAAGAGTATACATATTGTTGGTTAATCCAGAGTTAGTTTGGTAATCCCACGTCATGGTTTTTTTAAACTTATTTTTGCTATGATGCACTTGGATTATATTACAAGGTTTACAATAAGTTGGCTTTTTTTCCCTTTTTTAACCCCCACTTTCCTTTTTCGGTTTCTTGTTGTCTTGTTTTGGTTTCACTTAATTTTCTGTTCCATAAAATTTTATGATGTGTTATAGGTTCTAAGAAGTTGACTTTGACGTTTTTCTTTAAAGCCTGTGTATGTCTTGCCCTTTGCTAGCAATGGAGGAGTGTATTGAATAGGTTTTTAGTAGGTGAATGGTATGGGCAATAGTTTGTTCTTTAATTTACTAAGGTTGTGATTCTTCTTTGATCTGCAGCTCCTCTCAGCTGTAAATTGTTGGCTTAAGTGTATGTTACTTGATCCTAACAACCAAACAGATCACCCAGAATGCAAGTCACGGCCTGATAGTGGTCTTTCTGCTATTACAGAACTTGATCCCGGTTACATTACAGGTTTTTTTTTTTTTTTCTTATTTCCACATCCTATGCTTCGAAATGTATTTCAAGTGTCTCCAGAATGCTTTTACTTAAAAAAATAATTTGGCATGTTTAACTAAAATTTCTCTGTGGTAACAGGCCCTCTTTCTTCGGTGTGGAAAGAATGGGTTAAGTGGTGCATTGAATTTGGTATTGAGGCTAATGCAATCATAGCTGCTCCATATGATTGGAGATTGCCACCATCATTGCTTGAGGAGCGAGACCTTTATTTTCACAAGTTAAAGTATGTTTTTTGTTTACTTGTCTCTGGTTCATTCTGTGTTTACTGGCTATGATGCATGTAGCCAAGTAAATTTTTATTTGGAGCAACTAAGCTTTCAGTGCATCTTGGATGCATTCTTCCAAACTGAAAGTAAATATGTTTATTTATAATGACCATTCTATTCATGACAAGATTTTGCCTTATATAATATTTTCCTTTTTTTAATGAATTTAGAACTTCTCCAATACGAGTAATGCCAGATAGCAGTATTTGTTAGTTTAGTATGATTGATTGGGCACCGTGGAAGGCCTTAAGATGATGTTGAAATCGAATAGAGGATTGCCTATCTCCTCTTGGAGACTGAAGTTATGATTCTGGGAATGAATAACAGAACTTATGTTCTTCTGGTTGTATCTGTTTGTCTAATTGCTTGAATTCTACTATGTCCAGGTGGTTCGTTCTGATAAATTAAAGATACGTAAATTACATGATTTCTGCAAGTCTGAATTTCCAACTCTTTTTCAGTAACTTGCTAAGTCACACTACTTTTGCGGTCTCTGGTCAGAAAGTTGATTTTGAATTAGCATTTCTTTCATTTTCTTTGTTAGTGTATAATGTAGTCACCATTACTTGTTTTCTAAATTTGAGTCTGTCAGAAAATTGTTGTGATTCTCTAAGTTCTTATTATGAGGTATAAAATATATATTGGACTATGCTCTGTGATTGTTGATTTCTCTATGCACCCAAACATAAGGATCCAATTCCCACATTTCCCAATAGATCCATCCATTGGGCTGAGATGCTACTTGACCTCTTTAACTACATGATAAGTTGATTGTTTTAGATGTGCTTAAGTTGAATTTTCAGGATTTCTTGTTGATGATAAACTAAATTAATCCTAATTATTACTCAGATGTCCAATTGATGATTGTGCAAATTTATTGCATTATTTTGACCATGGAATTGGCCTATTGTAATCAATGCATTGGTGCTATTGTGATTGCAGACTGACATTTGAAACTGCTCTTAAACTTCGTGGGGGGCCATCGGTTGTGTTTGCCCATTCATTGGGTAATCATGTCTTCCGTTACTTTTTAGAGTGGTTAAAGCTGGAAATTGCACCAAAACAGTACATCCAATGGTTGGATGAGCATATTTATGCCTATTTTGCTGTGGGTATGATCCTTTAAATTCAAATCCTTTACACAAGGTGTTGTTCCTGGGATAGTCATGTCTGCCATTTCTTTGGCCTCATTATGGTTTTTTTTTTTTTAAATAAATTCTAGGAGCTCCACTTCTTGGTGCAATTGGGACGGTCAAAGCAACACTTTCTGGAGAAACATTTGGCCTTCCTGTTTCTGAGGTTATCTTTTGACTTTCTCTCTCTTGTAAAGCAATGCTTGCTGTGAACTTTAGCAGCTTTTGTTTACATGTTCAAGTGGAAAACAGCTTACCGCTGTTATGATTCCTTTTCAATTAGACAACCGATAAACAAGTCTGCATATGAATTGGTAATGGATATTCAAAGAGGAAATATGGATATTTGTACACTGGAGTATAAGACATAATACTCCAAGCTGTTATTCTTTTACATCTACTCTTTTATTTTTGGCTCGGGTGTATATCATATGACATTTGACAACTAGTCCCCTTGAAGGACTATTTTTAAGGAAATAGTGTAAGAAGATGAACCTTATAGTAGAACCTTATAAGAAATAAATTCACAATGACGGTCAATGAAAGTTAACTGTAGGTAGCTCTAACAGAAAAAAATGTCAAGTTCTTACCAATTTCCAATGCGATAGAGGCTGTTGAAAACCCTAAACCACCTGAATGATTTCCTATGATATCCATAAAACAGGTAAAGTAATGCAATAATGGAAAATATTAAATACAGTAGTACTAAAGCAAATTTAGAGATTTTCAAAACATTTATGCCTAGCAGATAAGTTACTGATGTTCCTTTCAACATATGTAAGAATGTCAAATTGGCAGTGGAATTTCTTAATTTTTTTTCAAGTCCTTATAGAAGTCGTCTGTTTGATATTAATATGTCTTGAATGAACCTTAAGTAACTTGCATCTCTAGGATGAAATCTTAATCAATCAACCACAGTTACTGACTTTCATTGGCTTGTAAAATTTTGGGATCAATAATATTGTTAGATTTTGGTACATGTTTTAACATATGTTTGCACTATATTTTGGCAAGGTGTCAGGGAACAGCTCGATTGATGTTCAATTCATTTGGTTCTTCATTATGGATGATGCCATTTTCAAAGTATTGTAGGGCAGATGGCATGTATTTGAAGCATTTTTCGGGGAGTATCAGTAAGGGTCATCATACCTATCAATGTGAGCCAGAGGAATTTCAGTCAAACAACTCTGGATGGCCAACAAATATAATCAACATTGAGATTCCTTCAATCCGTGGTGAGGCTTTGAAATCGGTTGTTTATTTATTTGTTTATTATGATGACATATAGGTAATTGCTGGCTCACATCAATGTCTTCTATAATAGGTTTTGATGCCTATCCATCAGTTTCAGAATTTTCGCAGACCAACTTGTCTAGCATGGAATGTGGACTCCCAACACAGTTGTCATTTTCAGCTCGTGAAATATCAGATGGGACCTTTTTCAAAGCTATAGAGGATTATGATTCAGATAGCAAGAGGATCTTGCAGCGACTAAAAAAGTGGGTATTCTGGCAAACTTAATGCCATTTGAGAAAGTTATGGTTACCTATTTTAGTTTATCATATGAGATGTCTATATCTGTGTCACTTTTGGGTGATATAGACGTAATTGATTCTAAGAATAATGTTTGTCAGCTTAATATCAGTGCTGGACATTCATACTGGAAGCCTCGTCACTCCAGTTATGATAGCTTTGGAAATATTTTTCACAAGCTATCATAGCTTTAAATTTTTCTTACAAGCTATGATACTTTCAAATATTTTTAACAATCTATGATAGGTTCTTAATGTTGGCTGATTCTTGACAAACTAATACTTAACAAAGAACTTTCATTATTGAGAGTCATGAGTCACATTCTACTTAAAATTATGTGGAGATGCAACACAAGTAGGTTTTGTCAATTGTCATAACTTATAAATGTTAAATGGACATTTACCCAATTTACCATTGACCTACCTGTTTGCATCGAAGACCAGTTACAAATGCTTTCCAAATGTTTTCTTTCTCAATCTGTGGTTGTTTCTCATTGTTGGCTGATACCTGACAACCTGAAAATTCTATTTTTAATTGTAACTTATCATAGTACTTCCATCTATTTATTTGAATAATTATTTTCCTAAAAGTTTAATTAATATGAGTCATGTAATATGTACTTCTATATTTTGACTAGTCTATGTTTCAATGCTGTATTTTTCAGGTCATATCATGATGACCCTGTTCTTAATCCTCTTACACCATGGGATAGACCACCTATTAAGAATGTTTTCTGTATCTATGGAATAGATTCAAAGACTGAGGTATAGTTACATTTTGAATATAAATTATAATTATGTTGTTCATGTTTGAACCCATTGCGATGCCTTGAGAATATCTTAAATGCTGTTTGAATGATTACTTTGACAGAAGGACAATGGCTGTTATGTCATATCATGGTTGCTTTTTTATTACTTACTGTGCTTAATTTATGACTATATTGTGTTGAATGATAATGCTAGCAGGTTGGTTATTATTTTGCACCAAGTGGCAAACCTTACCCTGATAATTGGATAATTACAGATGTCATCTATGAAGTTGAAGGATCACTTGTCTCGCGGTGAGCATCATCCATACTGGATCAATTGATTTATTTACCAGCATATATGCATAAGATATATTGAAACAACTTATCTTTCCCTGAAATTTAATATTAAAACAGCTCTTCCAATAATTGTTATTTCTTGTAAATTAATGAGGTAGTGCAGTCCAGTAGTATTAAATATAGTAGAAACGATTTGATCTCTTTAGATTTAACTTTTAAATAGCATTGCACTCATTTTTGTAGGTCAGGGAATCAGGTTGAAGGGAATCCAGGAGCTGCAAGTGGAGATGAGACAGTGAGCTCAGTAACCATTACATCATTCTATTTCAATCTTCACATGCATCAAGAATCTGTGCTACTAGATGACGGTGATCTATGTTTTATAGTTACAGGTCTAACATTTACATGTAAGTAACATAACCATAATTGTGACAGGTACCATATCATTCCCTATCTTGGTGCAAGAACTGGCTTGGGTCCAGAGTGAACGTAACAAGAGCTCCACAGGTGTTCTTGGTCAATTTAGTAAATCTTGTAGATACAAGCACCTGCATATGTATTATTTTTATGAAAATTTTGAGAAGTTAATCTTTTGGATATCCGATGTGTCATACATATCTGACTGCTAGTTTTTTGTGGTTAGTTTGATGAGCTATCTGAGCAGAGCTGTATAACACACTTTGTCACATGTTTCTCTCAGTCCAATTATATAATAAAAATGAGTAATTCATTTGGGCAGTGAATGGGTAAAATATATGAGGCACTAACCATCTGATATTGCCAGGGCCTAGAGTACATTTGCTATGGTTTTAATATTCTAAATCCAAAATATGACGAATTTTATAAGAGTTTGAATTAGTAACCTTTCTCTTGCATATTGCAGTCAGAGCATGATGGGTCTGATGTACAGGTGGAGTTGAATGTTGAGCATCATTATGAACAAGATATAGTTCCCAATATGACAAGGTCACCTAGAGTCAAATACATAACCTATTATGAAGACTCTGAAAGCATTCCTGGAAAGAGGACAGCAGTTTGGGAGCTTGATAAAGGTGGGTGACATGCCCTCAACTGCTTTTCTCAATTTATGGCTTTCATAGAACTATGACTTCAAATTATGTTGAACTTATTGCATTGGCTACTGTGCTGTTTGAGAATCTTAAATAGCACAGCATTATGGTTCTCATGGTTCTGTGCTGACATCCAATTAGAAATCTTAAATAAGTGGTTCTCACTGTTTTTGAATTAAAACTTTCAACTGATATACTTTCACTACAATCTATAAAAAGCAGAGGTATGGTAATTCGGGAGCACCTCTTCTGGATTCTTGCTAAAAGACAATCAAATAAATATTCAAAACCATTTAATTGAAAAGCTTGTCTTCCATTTACGGTTAGCTACTTAGCTTGTCTACTTTGTATTTCCTGTTTTTCTATGTTGAGGACAATCATTTAGACCATTTTGTGCTATGCTGCATGGTCAAGTTTCTTTCTTTCAACTTTTCTGCAATTGTTTTTTACAAGAAAATTGAGTTAACATGTTAAGTCACATGCCTTTACTTTTACCCTTTCACTACAAGTGGATTAAACTGATGTCATCTTCATGTAGCAAATCACAGGAACATAGTTAGATCTCCGGTTCTAATGCGAGAGTTATGGCTCCAGATTTGGCATGATATTCGTGTTGATGCAACGTCCAATTTTGTTACAAAAGGTGAAACTTGGTGTACTTTTTTACTTCTTTTCTCAAATGTTAAATTGAGTTTTACTCACTTATGATAATGCTGATAGCTAAGCGTGGGCCCTTGAGGGATGAGGACTGCTACTGGGATTATGGAAAAGCTCGTTGTGCGTGGCCTGAATATTGTGAATACAGGTTACATATTTTATTTTATTTCTGTCTCTTCCTCCACTTTCCAAGTTATATTTTGATTTTTATTACCTGACGTATGATGATGTAGGTATGTCTTCGGTGATGTTCATTTGGGACAGAGCTGTAGGTTAAAGAATTCTTTGGCTGATACACTCCTGCATTATGTATAGATTAGAAGGTATCTAACCTCGTGTCTTCTACATCTAACTAAAATTTAAATTGGCCTCTAGGCTTGATCATAATTTGCAAATGGTAGAATCAGGAAAGAAGATCAGATGCATCGATTCAGTTCTACAATGTTTACTACTAATGCTCTCCTATATGGCTACGACTTCCTCTTTGACAGTATTAATATTTTTCTGACCTGCTTTGATGTCATTTTCATTTCTATACTTTGCCTTCAGTCCAATTACGCATGCTTCTATTGAGGATTTTGGTTCCAGAGTTTGATAAATTTGTTAATGTTCACTATAATATTCACTTGCTTGATAAATTTGTTAATGTTCCCTATAATATTCACTTGTTTTAGAGTTGGCATATTAAAGTGATTTACTTTATTATTTCCTTTGAATATGTATTTTAGGTTTGAAACTTTCAATTCTTTCTTTGGTGAAAAAATGGAATCACATAGTAAAGTTAAATGAAAGGTTGAAACATGGTTGGTTTTTCGGGTTTTTTAATACTGTTAATTTATTATTGTTGATAAGTTAATTAAAGTTGTAATTTCTCATTTCAAAAGCTACATAAAACAACCCATGTGCATATATACAAATCATGGAATACCAGCTAAAGTGATTCTGATATCCGCGTACTCCCTTCTGTTATGACATGACATCACTCTGTCTCATTTTAAGTGGAAACTCTGTGTCTATAAATTTCTTCAGTACTTCACGTTCATTTTAAAACTTGTCTTAAAAATATGTATATCAATATTATACATCACTTGTGCTGTTGAACCTTATCTTTTAATTTTGTTGCCCCAGGTGTTGACCCATAAGCTTTCCCTACTTGAGATATTCTTGTCAAAAGGTAACTGTAGCAGGCATTATATGCAGATCAGACAATGAGCTCTGTCTCGTGCAAGTTTAGTTTCTTTTGTATATCATGTGCTATTCTTCCCCCTTCTTCGAATTACAGGGCAACATCGATACCAGTCCACATAGTTATCTGGCAGTTGATACAAACCTATTCCTAGTCAATTCTTTACTGGGGGCATCTCATGTTATACTCCTTAATCCTGACAGCTGAAACCTGTGGATCATAAACATACTATTGTTTTTTCCAGTTTACTAACGCAGTCTAGATTTAGATTCTAATGGGAGAGAAGAATAATTATCGAGAGGAGATGATCTCACTCTTTAGTTGAGATTCATCCACCTGTTGTAGATTTCTTCATGGAGTGATAAATCAAACATGAATAATGATGTATTTGAAATACATTGTGTAAAGGATGCTGGCTTCATATTATACATCAACCCCTTTCCAAAGGAAAGGTGCTTTTGGTACATAAACGAAAAAACATTAACATTTCTGGGATGATTAAAATTGAAAAGTTAGTATTTGTTTGCAATCAATGGTTGATTATAATAGAATGTGCACCTTTGCCTCGTAGTATTGTATTATAAAATGATTTTTAAATGGCTTGATCGAATAAAAGTTCAATTACAATATTATCGCAATAGTTTTCCTCTCGAAATTGAATTTAAAATTGAGATTCTCCCCTTAAGCATCAAGCAATGGAAGCCATCCATCCAGCAGACTGCAAAATGAAGAAAAGTTCTTTTTCATGTAGAACAAAACAAGAGCTTCTTCAATGTAGTTTTTCCATCAATGGAGTTTCAACTAAAATGGTTGGCACTTGACACCCATCATGAAAAAAAAACATTCCCGAGAGTCCACAACACGTAGGAAGGTTTTATAAATGCCTCCAGATAAATGAGAACTGTTTTTTTGCTGCTGCTTCCTGCCTGCGAATTTTTACAATCCTCGGTTTTAAAATTTATAAGCATGAGATAAAAGTGCAATTTTTAAGCCTGGAACAACTCCACCCATATCCACACCTTCCCTCGGTTTAACTATTATGTTTATAGCTTTACACTTTACTTCAAGTTTTAGCAGTGGAATGGCCAAAATATGTTGGTTTTGTTCCCTTTTGTATGTCTGCTCTCTCTCTCTCTCTCTCTCTCTCTCTCTCTCTCTTCCAGGGTGCTCTACCCAAGTTCAGTGCGCAGTCTGTTCTTCAAACCAACTTCACTCACTATATTCTGCATGCCAGCCATCGGTAGGGGTTTAGCCCCAAAAAAGGTCAGCTAGCCCTGCAATTTTCAGTTTGATTGTTCTTACCAAGTGATAGAAACAAGAGTCATGCAAGGCGGATTGCTAGGAGTATTGCAGTTAGAAATCACACAAAAACAATAAAAGTTTAACTCTACCTGCAACGATAGTCCAATTGGTAACTCCACAAACATATATGAAATTCGTAAAACAGAATAAATAATTAAATATTAAGGAGAAAACAAGAAACAAAACTCTTTGAAAACTTTGCTAGCTGCTCTTCTTTATCTCAAAGGAGTATTTGAGCTCCATGTGACATCTTCTGTCATCATCTTCAAACTGCATGGAAGCATAACATCAGGCACAATCACTATTTTGCGAAAGCATGAAAAAGAAAATGCAATATGCTACCACTGGTTTAATCACATACTAATCATTTGATACTTCACAGAGAAAAGGCTGGTCATGCACATACATATACTTTCCTAAAAGTTACACAGGAAATTCAAAAAACTCTTCCTAACAACAGTAATAAAAAAGGGAAATTGCAGATTTCAAGGACAAAGACAACAAATTACATGGCCCGAAAAGGAAACTTTCAACAAAACTATTCGTTACCAATATTTGTATATAAAAAAGTGCACTAATTCCTTGGTCTTGTCTGTTACGTGTACTGGCTTCACTTACAACATGTATTGACAACATAAAAGATAATATTAGTTTGGAGCAACATAATTTGCTTTATCCCATGTTAGGGTCATGAAATTGTGTTATGAAACTATGTGTGAAGTGATGCAAGTATCAATATATCTAATTTACTAAAAAAAGGATTGGATCGAGGACAATGGAGGAAGGAGGGTGTTTAGGGATAAGGGACCTGGATTTAAATAAGGGAAAACTCACAAATTGAACCTTGTTAATTCGTCCCATATCTAAAATGATAATAATCCAGCTCAAAATGGAAAGTCAATTTTCCACCAAGATTAACTTTTTCAGTTTACAGCCAATCTAGATTTTAAATAACCTTACACTCTCTTATAATCAAAAGGATAAATTATCCATATCATACATAATTCAACTTTAATGAAGGTAACTGTCAATCAGTATGAACGAAATGTAGAAAATGTGTCAAGAACATGAAATCTGTTGCTAAACATTGTAATCTTGCTTTATAAGTGCAGTCAGGCATTAATTTCAGGGTGCATGCACACATATATACCTTAAGCGTTGCAGAGTAAATTCCCCTTGCCAGCACTCCAGAAGGTGTAGTCTCTTCATCCAAAATGTGCACATATGGTTCTCGCTGAGGAGCAAAAGTACCCAGCATTCCATTGTTTTGATCAACTGACAACAAAACGGCACGTTAAATAAAAACCCTCACTTGCTAAAACAAAAGTTATTATGAAATCATGATTTATTAGAGTTTATGAGAAGCCACAGGCTAATAATGTAGATAATATAAGATAGCAAATACACAAATGCACAATAGCCTTTTTACACAAATATCAATTAAAACTTCACCAACTTGACCTACAGTGAAAAAGCACAATCAGAAAGACTCCATGCCTGCTAGTAAGCCTACCAAGGGTTTGGATTCTATATTGCTTCTGTGAAAGGAAAAACACTTGCAGACTACAAGATGAGTATTCCACCAGTAATCAAAGCGAATATATAGCACTCAGCCCCTCTCTAATTCAAACTCCGTAGCACACAGGTTTAAACAATGTCAGCTGCAGTTACCACATTAGGAACATAATTAATGCACCTTAACGGAAACAGAAACGAGAAGATTCTTCACCTTGAAGTCCTGCCTTCCACACTGTGTTGGAATAGGTTAAGCCAGAAACAATGTTGTGCAAAACACTGAATGTTAACTTAAGCTGATATCGAGATCCTTCATTGAGAGTAAACAGGACAAGACCATTCCAATTCCTATCAATTGGCAAGGGATAATTAACTTCCCCAAGGTCATTAGAAATAATTCCTACGGAGTGGAATTTGACTTCGGGTTCCATTTGGCCTACCAAATCAGAAAATAAAAACATTAACATAAAATTAACTTGTGAAATATGTGCATGGTACAAGATAAACTGAAATGATTGCATAAAAGCAAAGAACAGAAGGCACTCAAAAGATACCACTTAGGTCTCCTTCAACACAACCAAGAAGCTTCTCCTTCCATCTCCTCAAGCTGTCATCATCCTGCAAGAGTATAATTAAATGCCAAAATGAATTGGGAGCCACCAAATAGGCAGCTATCAATCAAGGAGAAGCCATATGTTTCGTTAGCATCAACGTATACAAATAAATCTTCAAGAGTTGATAGAGTCGACTAAAGCCATAAACAAAGGTCATGAAAACTTAATATAGCAAAGTATATTAAATGCCAAAATGAATTGGGAGCCACCAAATAGGTAGCTATCAATCAAGGAGAAGCCATATGTTTCGTTAGCATCAACGTATACAAATAAACCTTCAAGAGTTGATAGAGTCGACTAGAGCCATAAACAAAGGTCATGAAAACTTAATATAGCATTGTTGAAGGAAAGTTAAAAATGACACCAGTAAATGAAAACAGATTGAACTAAATCTAGATACTGCAACCCAAAGGAAATAGAAAAAAAAAAAACATAAACAAAGATAAGTCTTGTAGAAATTCTAAATTTAAATTTTCTCAATTGACAGTAGAGAATATCAACATTTTAACCATTAAATCTAAAATCCAGAAACCAAGAAAGCAGCAATAGAAGAACACCAAGTAAATGAACTTTGGTGGACTAAAAGATGTAACAAACCCAAAATCACAAGAACCAAGTTATATGTTAGAGCAAGGACACATAACTGCCTATAAATTACATTAGGTTCGCAAAGAATTATTTGATTAGCATATATTACATATTTTTCCTACTTACCCTGCCAAACTAAACAGCAATATAATGAAGCTGAAGAAAAAAATGAAAATCATAATCTTTATCAAGAATTTAAAAGAACCCATCAAGGATTCCAAGCAAAAATCAGAAGATGAAAGCAAGTTTAGAAATGAAAGAAGCAAACTCCTTTTTTAAAAAGAAAAATAATAAAAAAAAAGACCTTGTCTTTCTCAATCTGTTCCTTGAGAGAAGTAAGAGGTCCAGGAACAAAACCAGGCAAAGCTCCAGCACCATCTTCCTTATCATCATCTTCATCATCTTCTTCACGATCGTTACAAACTTCGTCAGCTAATGGTTTCTCAGTCATTTCCTTTTCTTCTCTCCCTTGCTTCTCCTCACCAACACCCGTTGATGGCCCAGCTTCTGCTCCCTTCCCACTCTCCATCTCTCTCTCTTGGTTAAGTGACCAAAGCACACCCTTTTCAAGTTTTCCAAGAGAATAAAAAGGAAAATATTTTAAAGCAGAAGAATTAGAAATTCAAAAGCCAGGGTGAGAAACAAAGAATTAAAAAAAAAAAAGGGAAAATAGATTGTAACGTATTTTATACAGAGGCAAAAAGTCAGATGCGTCCCTATCCGTTAAAACACGTTCCTAGTTTCTTTGTTACGACAGTGAGTTGTTTGTTTCTTTGTCTGTCTTGTCTTGATTTTTCGAGTCTTTGTCTGTCGGAGTAAACCTGGACACCGTAACTGGCAATAAAAAAAAAAGTTGAAATTTATTGCACATATATAAAAATAATAATAAACAAATACAATATTGTAACCAAATCAAAAATATATATATATAGTAGGAATATTTTTATTAAATTATTTGAATATAATAAATAGGTTTTTTTTTAAGACCAAGATGAAATATGTTTATCTCGTAAAGATTATACAGTAACATTTTATGTTATGGCAAAATATGTCAGATCTAGTGTATTGATATAAAAAATTTCCTTTTGTCATTATTCAATTAAGGAAATTAAGTTTTTTAAACAAAAAAAGTGCTTTGAATATATTAAAACTTGAAATTAAAAATACGAGTTGTAGATTATAAAAGTATATAGATTGATAAAATTTTTATTATTTTAAAATTAGATGTATTTTTAGAAAAAAATATAGGGAGAATAAATTAAGTAAAAAATGCGTTAAATGTAAAAATCTTTTTTTTATATAGTATTATAAGGTAGTACACTTTTAACTATTTTAAGAAAGACAATTACATTTTAATGTTATTGTTTAGCTTTTATTGAGTAATTTTTATTTAATAAATTAATATGTTTAAAATGTATTAAATACTAACTACCATAATTATTACGTCTTAATGAGTTTTATTAGAACAACCATTAAGAACCAAAAAAAAAAAAAAAAAGTAAATGTTTTTGATGATTAGGTATTATTACACACATCATCCATCAATTTAACTTTTATAAGTGAAGCCGCACAAATCTATCTCAATAAATAAATAAATATTTATTCCACAAAATATATAAAATAAACTATAGAGCAATTATTAAAAGATCTTATAATATTGGCCAAAAAAAATGATCCTATAATAATTCAATCAAGGACAAAATTTAAATGAATATTTTTAGATAAATTAATTTGTGAAAGTATGATGTATTAATTTCTTTAATTATAAATAAAAAAAATGTGACAACTTCATAAATTTATTTATGATTCACTGCATGTACATAAGACAATATTCCTGGTATCTTTTTCTAGAATCAGAGCTAAACTCACTGAGTGGCAACTCAATCAAATCAGAAGGAAGAAAAACTTATCATTTTATTGCTATTAGTATTACAAGATACAGGAAGAACATAGAACAATACATAATTGTCTAAGAGAGTGGGAAAAACTTGTTATGATTTACAGAGAAGAAGAATTTGCATAGCCGCAGAGGGGGGGAGGGTATTATCTAAATGGCTCAACGGGCGCTGAGTCTTCAAGAATGGCAGCAGCCTCAAAACATTCAGCTGCTTCTTCTAGTGAAGATGCAGTGTCTTCTGCTTTGTGAAGCAGACCAAGATTATACCATGCAGATGGATTCATTCTATCAACTCGGAGAGCATTCATCAGCAAGCTTTTTATAACTGGATTGGATTGGCCGCCAAGTTGTCTGAGCACACCGGCTGCAGATATCAAGCTTGGGACGTGATCCGGATCGATATCCAAAGCACTCCAAAATGCCTTCAGTGCTTCTTTTAGTAAGCCTTTTCTCTCATAAAGTGCACCTGCAAAATAAAATGTCTTAAAATCCTCTTCATTCACTGGTTTCCACCAGAAAACAATAACTCCAACCCACATTCATCTTTATCTTTGGGAAACAAACATCTATACTAATATAAAAAGTGACTGGCAGAATATATGTCATGCCAATTTTGTTAATTTTCTTGGAATGTTTTAATTAAGTTAAAAGTCTTAATCAACTCGGTAACCAACCCTTAACTCGTTTTGTAAGAAGCTTTTCTACCTTGATTGAAAATTAAAAACTACAAAAAGGATCATGTTATGAACTATGAATCATGCTGACTTATCCCAAAAGAAAAGCTGATAAATCTGCAACATCACCGTTAGAGGCATTTATTCAAGAAAATTATGAATTTAAGGAATTCTATATAATGACAATAACATAAACCAGGGGAAGAATAAAGTTACCTGTGGCATGATTTCTGACAGCAGAGTAAGAACTGATGGCCTTGGATTTTGAAAGACAAATCTCAGCATCTCGCCATTGTGACAAGCTTATGTAGAGATAAGCTAGATCATGCCATATTTCCTGTTCAAAACTTCTAGAGTATCCATGATCCTGTAAACAATTATTCAAAAAGATGAGCTTCTTTAAAACTTGTTTCCTGAAAAATGACACAAGAAAGAGCATTATCTACTCCAACAGCAAACTCTGATTTAATGTTCTGAGGATACAAAGAGCGTTCGTTAAGTTTAAATGGATGTAATAACTTTCAAAAATGGCAGCTGTACCTCCTCATTCATACTCTAAAAGACAGTTTTCAACCTACCATTCTAACAGTTATAAACCTCAAATTTGTATCAATCACAGGTATCCAACTGATGGCAAGTCACACAGTCATACCCAACATTAAGATGGGCAATTCCAGGGATCATTTTTGAAATTTTACCTTCTAAACTATCTACGTATCTAATTCCAAAAACGGATGAATCACCTAAAGTCAACTTGGTAGGATAACCATTTCAGATACTTCCAAGAAGATGGAACTCAATTAAAATTATAGGTAATGGATAGAACCACTAAACAACTAACAGACCTTGTGAAGCTTCTTCCCAGAACCAAAGCTTTTACTCTGTACTTGAAGAAGGGCAAGAAGCTGAGTATATGTCTCAACAGCACTCTGGAGCTGTCCCTGTGCAATTTGAAGCTTAGCTTTGGTGCGCAACAATTCTCCCTGATCCCATTTGCTGGTTTGATCCAAGGCAGCATTGAGAATGATTTCACCATCAACAAAACGTTTTTGAGCTGACAATACGCGAGCCAACAATAACCATCCCTTAATATCAGAACCGCCTTCTAGTTTTAGCAAAGACTTTGCATAATAAAGTGCAGCTTCCAACTTTCTCTGCTCAGCATTTTCCAGGCTAAGATAATAAAGAATATTAGGGTCTTTCATACTTGTAATTTTCCGAGCACTTTCCAAGGCCTGAAGGGCCTCAGACTGTCTGGCAACCCTCTCAAAATAGGATGGGGCAGACTTCGAATGTGCCGAAGAAGCCACACCCAATACAAATTTACCAGTACCTTCCAACTCACTGCATTCATCCTCCAGGCTTTCAAGGGCTCTATGAGCAAAATTAATCCCTTCTGCTGCAAGATTAGGTTTTTTCCCACAAATTCTAGATGCCATTAAACATGCTGGAATACTATGTGGATCCTCTCTACTATTCAACAATTTCCGCAATAGATTCAAAGCAACCATATCTTCACCTGCTTCATAATAACAGAGAGCTAGAATATAGTATCTTTCTTTGCGGTTAATAACCCCTGGAAGCAGTCCTTCTATGTGCTTAGCTAAAGCCCTCAAATCCCCAGAAATGGAGAGAGCAAATGACAGATGATCCAAAATTGATGGATCCCATTCTATTCTTTTCAGAGAAACTTTTCTTAATAGTATCATTAACAGGAGTATAGCTTCCTCTATGTTATTTCTAGGGACAAATGAACTGTCCATTTGAGAGCGGAGGTTTGGGGGGCTCGCTTCACCGCCACAATACAGAAGAAAAATGGCAAACTGTTTTTGAATCCTTGCAGTAGTTTCTGCATCGAGATTCCACTGATGGAGAAGAGCCCACCGGTATGACAAGATTGCTTCAGATGGAGAATCGCTAAATTTCCATAATTCTGGAAGCAGCTCAACTGCCTTGTTTAGAGTCTCCTGCAATTTACAGTCAGCACCAAAGTTTTCAGGCAAGCCTTCTGGAAATGAAAACTCAACTATGTCCAGAATAACTTTGCAAGTTTGAGCAGCTTCTGCAAGAATGATCGGAATATTCATTAGCCATGCAGTGATGATTGAATTGTTGTGTGCAGCTATTCTTCCTTTCTTTTCTCCAGAGGAGAAAGAGTACAAAGATGACAAACATGAAAGGCATCTGATAACAACGAGCTCCATGAAAACTTGCTTGACAAAACACATTCCAAGTAGCAAAGAAGCTCGTAGATAAAAACAAAAGAAAAAACACATAGAAGCTAGAATATCATAAGTTCATAACAGTTATTGTTGGATTTTTGGAATTTGGAAACATGCCAATCATCGTAATAGAAAGAAGATTGTTAAAGCAAATTTGAACGGGAGAATTTTAAGCACAGGAGGCTTTTAATGACAATAAATCATATATACTACTAATAATAATACTATATTAATTATTATAATACTAATATTTACCAATTATGCAAGGAAAGCTTACTGATATGTATAAGATAGCAAGGGGAAGGATAAGGAAAATGGAATATATCTTATTGGAAACTCGTATCTTGACAGCTTGATTCATGAAATCTGGTCCATATATAACTAAAGCGATTTTTTGGACAAATTATGAAGAAAAATGGTATAGAAATCAGGCCCGCTTAGTCATCATCAGAAGGAATAAATTAGAATATAAAATAAAATGAATAATTTAGTGCAAGTTAAAACAGCACTTAATTATAACTCACTTCATCCATATAATTGCAGAGTTGATGTAAGATCTGTGTACTAATACATAAACATTACCTCTAAACCTCTGGAGATGCTGCAAAGATTTTGCTTTGAGAAAAATTGCTTCTAGTAGTAAACTAACAGCATGGATAGACATTGGTGGAGGAGCATAGTCATGAGATCGTCTCTTACGCCTTTCTACTCTTCTAGCAAGGGTAAGTTTCATTTTGGGAGTTATCGCAGCTATATCTATTCCTTCAAACACATGTAGTGCAGCTTCTATATTTCCTTTCTGATATTCAATTCTTCCCAGCAATGCCCTAGCTTCCTGCAAATTGAATACACCTTAGCCAAAAAGAAAGCAAATAAAAGTGCTTATAGAATTAGCACAACTGAGTTCCATACACTAAATTAGTTAAAATAGGTGGCAAAAAAAAGAAAGAAAAAGGCAGGAATGAACTGTATTACATGGAAAATAGTAGACAGCGAAAATAACAGTAAACTTCAGATGGCCGAGTAATGCAAGAAGAAACAAATAATGGTGAACTATGAGTAATGACCACTTTCTCACACCCAGTGTTGACAAGGGTAAGGAAAAGTGAGCAGCCACAGGTGGAAGGTGACATGAAAAGTAACAAATCGCCGAGTAATGCAAGAAGAAACATTATGGCATGAACACAATTGTTTAAGGTCTAAAAGAAGAAATGACTTTAATTGAAGCAGTGTTAAGTGTTAACCAGATACTCATTGAAAAGCTTTGTAAAAATTGACAACTTCAGCTTTAATTAGAGCAATGTGACCAAGTAGAATTTGCATAAGTTTTGGAGGTTATATTGTCAAAGACAAAAAAGAATATGGCATTTAAATTTAAACTAATAGCTTCAAGCCTAAACCATTGCGCAGTAAACAAGAGGTATCACCATATTGGAATCTTTTAGGGGAACTAGGTGGAATAAAAATCTCAAGCTTTGAGAAAATAAAATAACCAGATGGCATGGAATATCTTGAAATTGTTTTGTTTAAAATGAAAAAAACTTTAATTACTAGTACAGTATATAAATTCCTACAAATGAATGAGAAGATCTGGAAAACTCCTAAACAAACGCATGAATAGACCTCAAACACACCTGAAACCAGATTCGAGAAGTAGCGAGGATAATTTTGATAGAAATTTAGGAAAATCAATGTGCCGCCACCAATTTTCACTACAATAATACAGACCTGAAGGACTTATAACAGCAATGAGGAATAAAATTATTCAAAAAATCAACTTGAAAGCTGGAAAGAATGAAGAAGCAAACCTCATAATTCAGTGAACTACTTTCACGCAGAGACAATTCAGCTTCTTCTATATTCCTGGTATCTGGCTTTTTCTTACCATCACTAACTTTAGAAGAATAACCACTCAGTGAATAATCTTTCGCCGCAAAGGATTCTGATGAAGGTATCATTTTGTCTACTTTTGTTAATTGCTCTCTGGTGCATAAACACATTCTCTGCCCCAAATCCTCCTAAGTCCACCTCTGCTCAGCTTTTTAATCCTTATTTACTGTTCATAATGTTTCACCTCTATCCAAAATCTTCAAGTGCAAGAAGAAAATAACATGAAGGACAAAAACATTATCAGAACTTTAATAGTAGATCAAAAGGATGCATAACTCATAACTAGTATATATACAATACGATGATCAATGCAATCATACCATCCATAAACAATGAAGTTCAAGCTTTTGCCACATAAAACAGATTACAAGAATCAAAATTTGAGTTATTCAAAAAAGAAATCAAATTTTCAGATTTCAAGAAATCTAGAAACCAAGAGGGAAATCAAAATCCAACAGTACAGTAAAATATAGAACATAATAATTTAAAAAACCAGAATTTATTTATTTATTTATTTATTTTACAAGTTAAGCTTAAAACCCATTACCCAGAATTCAGAAACAAAAAAAAAATTATTGATCATTATCAAAACGCACCAATATTTCACCAACCCCACTTGAAAAATTCTAACCAAACATCCAATCAAACTCCTCAATTATAAATTTAAAAACAAAAGATATACTAAATTTACCCAAAAAAATGTCTAAATTCAAGTAATTGACTCTACAAGAACTGACAGTACAATCAAGTCTAAATCAAATTTATACAGCCAAATAAACAAAGAGCTCACCTTTGGCTTTCCCAAAGAGAAAAAATCCAAAGAGACCACGAGACGTCAACAGCATTACCACCCATCTGTTTTTCAAGATTGCTTCATCGAATCCAAAAAAAGCGCTTATTTAATAAAAGACTGTACCTTTGAGAAATAAAATTAATCAATCAAGCATCCAAAGCCAATGCCTTCAGGAAGCTTTCATTTTATTTTTGTTTTTTCTTTTCCTTTTCACTTCTTTGAAAATTTTCTTTCTCTTTTGCCTCTCCTTTCTTTTTTGCTTTTTTTTTTTTTGGATTAAACTTGAAGGAGAAAGAAAAACAAAGGACGGATGGTAAATTGGATCGTGAACAAGAAGATTTGGAGATTAAGCTTAAAGAAAAAAATGGATAAATAAAAAAAAAAAAAAAGAGGATTCTTGAGTCGATAAAAACAAGTTTTTTTTTTTTATTTAACGACAGTGGCCGAGGCTAATTCTGTGCCACGCGGGATGCTTTTTCAAATCTTTTAGTGCTGGATTTTGACGGTTACAAACGAGATTGATTGACATTTGACTAATTGACTTAACCCTTTTGTTTTTGGCTTTTTCTTTTTTTACATACATATTATATAGTAATATTACTATAACAATATTTTTTTTCTTTTATTTTTTAGGGTTAAAGTTCAAAATGACAGCCTGGTTTTTCGAAATTTTTAGTATTATCCATGTTGAAAATTTTCTTTTTCTTTTTTTATTAGTTTTAACACATTTATTATTTATAAAAATTACAAAATTTTCTAGTTTTCTGCATTCCAATGAGAAATTAATTCAACATTTTATAATTAATCACATGTGTATTTGTTGTTTTTAATTGATGGATTTGTATAAAAAATCAAATTGGGTGCTTATGGATATAATACTTTATGTTCAACATTTTCTTATATTTAATTTTACATGTCTTTTATTCTCATAAATAAATTAGACATTTATGTATTTAGTAAGTCACATGCATGAAATTAATATTATAGAAGTGAAAATTTTATATTTTATTCAAAAAAAAGTGTATCCCATCCTTCTATTTCAACTCTGGATTTTTTGTCCCTTATTTTGTTATCATTTAGTAACATTTTTTCTACCATACCATGTGCTTAAAAGCAAGTTACATAATGAGTACTAGACTTTGACACATCCATTATGTGAGTGAAAAATTATTAGTTGAAATAATTATAATTTTTTTTAAGTTACTTTAAGGGTGGGTAGTTTATTTAATGAGGGTAAAATTTAATGTTTAAAAATATAAATATTCCTAACTTTATTTTATTATTGTAATTTAACTTTGAGTTTTAAGTTATTTCCAAAAAAAAAAAAAATTTTGAATTTTAAGTAAATTTACCAATTGGATTAGTATCTGATTAACTCAGTGACAACAATTTTAAGTAGTAGATTTGGACCCACTCACTACTGAAATGAAAAGAAAATAAAGATTGTGTTTGAAAAAAGAAAAAGGAAAAAAGTCACTTGATGAGTGGGTAGTTTTTTTTTTTAATGTACGTGAATAAAAATATTATTTTATTTGTAAATTTAATAATACATAAATATTCATAACTTCATTTTCATTTTATTATTGTAATTTTAATTTCAGTTTTAAGAAAATTTTCAAATTGAGTTGATATTTACTTTAACTCGTGACACAAAATTAAGGAACATATCAACTACAATAATTATAATACAATTGATTAATCCCAATTTATAATTGTGTAAGGATCATCAAAATTTTATATAAAATTCATATTTATGAACGATGGATTCTTACATAATTTTTTATTGTGATTGGATGATTATAATATTATAAAAAAGGGAATTATAAATGAAATGCTTCCAACTCAATCAAAGATTTTAATTTTAGTAGAAATAATATAGAAATAAACTTGTAAATTTGATTTAAAGGATTGAATTGCACATATTAGAATAACCATTTTTGGCACCTTGCATACAAAAGAACCAACAAAAACCTTTTTATACAGAACAGAAACTATGACTGTCCTTTTTTTCAGAAAAAAAAAATGTTGATTGAGATTAGAATCTCTAATTCTGTAAGATACAAATGTAATTACAAAATACATTATATCTAGACCAAATATTCAATAATCTCTACTATCTCAAGTAAAGTACTTAATTAATACTTGAATCTAATTTTTTTGAATCATGGATGAAGTCACAAAGTGTTTATATATTTAAGTATTAATTAGATTCTTAATAATATTATTAGAAATTCCTTTCTTATTACCAAACAAATGCATCTAATGGCTTGATTAAATAACCAATGAAAAGAATTTGAAACTCAAGTTCATTGATTTATATAATTATTTTTAAAATATGATACTTAATAAATTTGAGATTCAAAGTATCCCTTATTTATGATAACCGATAAAAAAGGCTACCCCTTAATTATGACAACCATATTATGCAATAATTTGGGTTCAATTATTTGTGACAAATGGTTTGGTTTAAGTTAAGGCTGAGTAGGATTAGTTAAAGCTTGCCTAACATTTGCCAGTTGGCATGAGCTCTCCCCTTCCCCACCCCCCCACCCCCCAACCAAAGAGAAGGCTGCTAATGTTGTTTAGGCCATCAAGGGTTTGGTGGCTCAATTAAAGGCCTTTTAACGGCTTTGGGCTTAAGTGGTTTGTTTTTGTGGTGAGTTTGTGATGCTGATGCTAAATATTTGGGAAAAAAATAGTACTACAATAAAGAAATTTTGGAGCATTCATTGATTTGGGTTGGGCGGTGTACAGTAGTCTTTCTCCTCTTTTTTTAATGTCTGAGATGGTAGATGGAAACCGAAAAGTTAGAGATATCAAATCTTACTCATATTAAATAAAAAATTAAATTTTTTATTTTAAAAGAGATAAGATAGGTTTTATATCATAAATATTGAATTAGATAGATATAATTTTAAATCTTTATCGAATACGAAAATAAAAACGAATAATATAACATGAATCTTGTACTCATACATTATATATAAGTATATATATTTATATATAATTTAGTAAATAATTTTTTAAATAATATAAATTATTATTTTAGATTAATTATAATTAATATATTTTTATTGAAAAAAATATATTAATATATAGTTATAAAAAATTACTTAAATATACAAAATAAGAATTAAAAAATAAATTTTTATTTTATTTTTATTTAAAAAAAAACTACGGATATGAGTACTATCCATACCCTTTAAATATCTATGTAAATAATAACATAAATAGACTTAAAATACTCATTAGATATGAAACGATGATGAATATAATATAAAAATTCTATGATGGGTATAAAAAATGTTCTACCATTCCCATAATTTACTTATTGATATCCTTAATCCTAATTCCCAATCTCTTCATTAATTTTGCTAAAATTTAACATTTTATTTCAGTAGCTAATTTCAACTTTAATTTTATCATCTCTATATTTATTCAATGATGTATGAGAGAAAGAGCTAACTACTCATTATAGTTCCACTCCAAAGAATTTAAGCCATAAACTTTAAAAATAACCTAATACATGTGTCACGAATTTAAGGAAGAGTCTTAAATCCCACATCGAATATAAAAATGAGAGTCACTGGAGTATAAAATGGTTCACACAATCTCTTCCTTGTAAGATATTTTTTGTCAGATAAAACCGTAAAATCAGAAGGGTCAGAACGGATAATACCTTACAAGAGTGTGAATCGTGACAGTTAGGCTGATCTGAGACACGTCAGATGAGTTGATGCCTGGGTTCCGAAGCCGTACGAGTTCGAAGCTTAAGTATCGACTCGTGACAAGTGATATCAGAGCTAAACCTAAAACCGTTCAATCCACGTTAAATGTATCGAAGGAGGTAGGCAGAGTGGTCAGCATCTGTGATGAGGAATGGTGTGAATCGTGACAGTTAGGCTTATCTGAGACGTCGGATGAGTGGATGCCCGGGACTCGGAGCCACACGGGTTCGGAGCTTAAGTCTCAACCCATGATAAGTGGTATCAAAGCCAACACTAAATCGTTCGAACCACGCCAAGCACCTCGAAAGAGGTAGACAGAGTGGTCAGCCTCCGTAATGAGGGCGTCAGTTCTAAATCCCACGTCGAATATAAAAGAGTTCACACAATCTCTTATTTGTGAGTCGACTTTTGTAGGATAAAATTGTGATGTCAGAGGGATCAGAGTGGATAATACTTCACAAAAGTATGAATCGTGACAGTTAAGCTGATTTGGAACTTCGGATGAATTGATGCCCGAATCTCGAAGTCACGCGGGTTAAAGCTTTAAGTCTTGACCCGTGATATATGCACATAACCACAGATAAAAATAATCAAAGAAGAAAGGAAGAGCATGCATCAGATTTAATTTGTGAAGTAAAAAAACGTATGTCCATCTTTTACAAGTTCAATGTATATATAAAAATTCTCTTGATTCAATGAATAATAAACAATAATCAGTAAGTATCTTGTGGGTAATAGTAAACAAATCAAGGCATAATCACTAATTTCCTTACCAAGAAACAGACCATTAAGTAATTCCCCCAAAAGCTAAAGAAAATATATTTTTTTATTTTTTAGTTTTATTTTTTATAAAATAGTTTTTTTCTATTTTTTATTTTTAAAAATATATTTGATAAACAAAAATAAAAAAATAAAAAATTCAATAATATTACTATTAATGCGATTTAATTATAAATATAATATATATTTATTAATTAATGACGTTAACAACTATTTAAATATAATCACTTGCAAAATGTAAGAAAAAAATAATGAATATTTTTAATTTTATATTTTAATTCTTTTATATTTTTATTTTTAATTATCAAATACATTTTTACTATTATTTTTTATTTAAAAAAATAAAAAAAAAATCGTATTTTCTGAAACCCAATACTATTGAATTTTCTAAACGGGAAAGGCTTTCCCTCAATGGCCGAACATGTTGGGTAGAAGGCAAATCAGGTCCAAATCTGATGGTTTTGGCTGGGCATGTGTCCTGTTCGGAACGTTCGTTGATAAGCCGTTGCCCTTCATGTCAGACCCCTGTCGCATAAAAATTATGCAAATGCCAAAGCATATTATTTATAATTATTATATATAATAAATTAATTATAGTTTAATATTATGTAAAGTTTATAAAAAAAATTATATAAAAATTACATTGTTAAGTAATAATTTTTATTATAATTAATTAACTATAATATTATAATAAAAAATTAAAATAAAATATTCTCCGAATATATGTCAAAATTCAAAATATCATGCGTCAAATCTTACAGCTTGGCTAGTTGCAGCTAGATTATTGGCACCACTCAATTCGATTGGGACCTCAAGTAAAGATTTTTTAATTGAAATTGGACCTATTTTAAAATATTTTATATTAATTTTATTTTTAAAATATTAAAATGATAATATTTTATTTTCAAAAAATTTCGAATTTTTGGATCCCGTGCCAGATGAGGCGTTGATTAAGCCCAATCAGATACATGTACATCTCTAATTGCAACACACATCTTTCACGGACGCACAATTTCAACGTTGTAATACTTTCTTTCATTTCCCTTTTAACATCATCATCATCATCATCATCATCATCATCATCATCATCATCATCATATAATTAAAAATATTTTCATTTATCATGTTAATTAATAATTTAATACTAAAAAAAAAGTTACAATATTAAAGTATATTGAAAATATTGTGCTGTTGACGAAGTGAAAAAAAAAATGCCAATATCTCCGACGGGAGCTGCCTGTCCGATCTTCATGACCTAATTTGTTTGGCCTGAAAAAGCATCGAAGGCTTACCGTTTAAGCTGTAAGCCTGTTCTGAGCAAAAGCTAATTAAACACCGTATAGTTTCATTTTTTGGTACAAATTGTGTAGATATCTGCTAAATGGAATTTGCTTATTGGCAGATTAACTTTTTAACAAAACTATAAATGTATTTTCTTTCAAATATTTAGATAATAAAAAAAAAATTATTTTTTTAAGCTCATGAAACAGGCGAGGTGAGCTTTTTCCAAATTTCTACTATATTCTACTAAATTAACTGCGTGATCTACGAGCTGGGACCTTACATTTTTCTTTTGTTTTGAAGGGGATGGGACGTTTCGTTAATAAATAAATAATAATGCTGAATTTGATTGAGACATCTCAACAACGTTGAGAATCGAAGAGCCTCAATTTACATCAAAAAATATTTTTTAAATATTTTTAATTATTGAATTTAGTAAATTAAAATAATAAAATAAAATTATTTTTAATTTTTTTAATTTATCAAAATTAATAATTAAAAAAACTCTAAAAAAATATAAATTTTTTTAACGTAAATTAATCTTGTCCATTGAGAGTTTGTGATTATATATATATTTGACTTTATAATATAATGTGCATGGATTTTTTTTCATACCAATTTCGTCATACCATATATATAGAGAGAGAGAGAGAGTTGAATATAACCCATCCATTTTGAATTTAAGTGAAGAAAAAAAAATAAAAATTTAAAGTAATACGTACATAGTTTGTTTTAATCTATACTTTCTTCCTATAGTTATCAAAATTTAAAGTGTTAAAATGAGAAATTAAGATTTATGAAAAATTATATGGCTGCCCCTTATACAATTCAAACTTTAGTACTTTTTTAAGTCAAAAATTTTTTTATTTACCTATTGTAAAAGAAAAAAAAATCAGTCTGATTTTATCTTTTTATTTGCTCAATCTTTTTATTTTAAGTCAATTTGTTGGGGGACCTTATGGTTGGAAGGAGATATGTTGCATTTTCACACGTCACCCTTGAAATAAGCACGTGATAAAGCTGTAAGCTATAGTAGTTATTATCAGTTTTTTCACTAACGATAAGTACAAAAATTAAAAAATAATAAAAAAAAACGTTTGGATTTTTAACTTAATTTAATTATTTCGAATCTAATATTTTTGTATTTAAGATTATGAAAGGGATTAACAACCCAAATTTAGTAAATTTATTTATATAAGGTAAAAAATTCAATAATACTGGAGGCCTATAATGTAGTAATCTGGTTTAAGACAAATTTTAATTTGAGTTTTAATTTGCAAACAGTACGTCACAAGAATATTGATCAATTTCCATGTTTCAACTTATAATTTCATTCAAACCTTATATAAAAAATATTTGAGTAAAACTCTAACAATGCATATGAAGGGGAAATTTTAAAATTTTGAATTTTTTTTAAATGAATGTATTTTCAAATATATCAATTAAAAAATCAAAACTTTATGTATATTTTGATAATCTAACGTTTGTAATTGTATTGTTTGAATAAATATGAGTAGGACACACTTTTACTAGTGTTAGTTTTATATTTTTATCATTCTTCTATAAATAAATTTTAAATATTAAAATTTGACAAGATAAAATTTAATTATAAAAAATAATAATGATATGAGAGACAAAAAAAAAATGAAGAGTTAGAGCTCATTCTAATTGTTATGAAATGTTCGGGGTTCGAGTGCCGTTCGTGATCTATTATTGATGCTAATCATAAATGCAATCTATGAAACTTTATGAAACGACCTGAACTGAGAAATGAAAGCAGTCTATTTATCCCATATTTTATGCGCCAATTAAATTACTGTTAAACCAATTGCTAGTATGCTTGACTGTTAAAATTTTCGGAATTAAAGGAGATGAAAACACCTAACTTGTGAATATTTATGAGACCCTAGTGAAGCTTTAATTATTGACTGTGACAGGAAAGAAATTGGCTTGTTGATGAAGAATATCTTTTTCTTTCTTCCTTCCTTTCTCTCCCTTTTTTAAGTACATCAAAGAAGCTGTTGATCAACCGTATGATTCTATACAAATAATAAATAAATAAATACATCAAAGTTTAAATCATAATTAAACTGTATCATGATAGTAATTAGCCATATTCCTTATTGCAAAAAAGAAATAAGAAATGATTATTTACTTTTTATATTCAAAGTTCAAAAAGCTTATCATAAGGTATAATAAATTTAACCTTGCTAAATCACCTATATATATACTAGACGGTAAAATGCATATACTTTTTATACAATTTTTTTTTCATTTTGCTGACAAATTTTTTGATAAGTTAATATGTTATTAAAAATAATATCTGAAAATTACAAATTCTAAATAGTTTAAATACGTAATATATTTTTTAATAAAATATGTAATAAATTAAAAGATTTAAGGGTAAATTAAAAATTTAAAAAAAAAAAAGTAACGTATACGTTACAATTTTTTTTATTTTGAAAAATGACTAAATTTGAATTCAACTTTGTTATAAGATTTTCATAATCCAAACATGATTTGTATTTCTTAATTCTACTCAAACATATAGATACGAATCCAAATATACTTTATAATTGAAATTTACTATATATATATTTAAACATAATAATTTTAATACAATACAATAATATAATAAAAAATATAAAAATGATATAATTTAAATATGACAAAAATTATATATAAATTTATAAAAATAAAAATATATTTTTACATTAAACATGTCAATATAAATAATTTTTATTTTTTATATATATTTAATATAAAACAGGTGCGATAAAAATTATAAATTATCAGATCCCATATGTATTTCGATTAACAAAAAAAAAAAGAAAAGACCTTGTAAATATTAGTACATGTAGAGCATGCGATAAGAGAAATAATAAGATTGCGAAAAGAGAGAAATAAAGTAGGTAAAAACCCATCAATCCTATTCCTCGTGGCTAGACAAGAATCTTCATATTTTTGCCCCCTTTTTTTTTTTTTTTTTCCAAAAATCGATAACTTCTTGGCTTGGTTATCCGCCAAAAGGCAGTAGTGATAGAAACATAAAAAGTATGAGATAAGACTGAGGGTAATTTCGTCTTCAATCTTTTTGTGGCAACCCCCGAAATTTCGTTCAAATGTAGGGGCCAATTTTCAATCCCTTCTCTATAAATACATACAACCCCACCATCTTTTCATTCTCCTCACGCCCCCTGTAACTTGCTTTCTTTAAAGTTGTGTTTCATTCATTTTTTTTTCTCTCTTTTTTTTGCTCTTTAATCCATAAATCACTTTGAACCGGATATTTTAAAAGTCAGATTCCGGTGACCGCCGATTTGATCCTCTGTTTTTGACTTTTTTACCCCCTCGCTCTGTCTTTACTCCTTCCTCTTAAATATTTGCTTTTTATTGTTTTACCTGTTTACCTTTAGAGCCTTTGCCGTTTTTACCGCTAATTCTTTTCCTAAAAAAAGAGAGTGAAAGATAAGGGTCCCTATTTATCTCTCGGCGGATTTTTTTTTTAATATTCGTGCATTATTTGTAGTAGATATTTGGTGCTGACGTGGCATGCACCAGAAAGGGTGAAACAATGAATACCAAAACGATGCGTCTCCCGCCCCGCCGGGTTTCCATGCCCAACAACAAGCGAAAAGAGAGAAACGATTTGGACGTCAAACACTTGGCCCCTCCGCCCACAAAGTCACCCAAGCCGGCTGTCCCATTGTCGGCTTCCACCAAAGCCGCCCACCAGGTTCTCTCCAATCAGCTTCTTGCTGGATACCTGGCCCACGAGTTCCTCACTCGTGGGACTCTGTTCGGTCAAACGTGGGACCCAGCTCGGATCAGAGAAGTCGAGCCAAAAGAGAGATCCAGAGCAGGCGACGCCGAGCCGAAGCCGAAGGAGGAGAAGCATCAAAGGTATGTAGAAGTGGCGAGTTTGCTGAAGACAGATGGGGCCCACATACCGGGCATCGTCAACCCGAGCCAACTCGGTCATTTTTTACAGGTGTGAGGTTGTTTTCTCACACGTGGAGACATCGCATTGGGCATCGTTGTTATCCACTCAAAAACAACAAAAGGGAAAAATGAAAAACGAAAAAGTTAGAGAAAAAACACGCTTTTTTTTAGAGCAAATTTTATTTCCTTCTCTATCTTTTTGGATAAGTTCTCTGAGTACTTAGACTTAGCTCAAAATAGTTTTTTTTTTTTTTTTTTACTTTTTATTATTTCTGTTTGTTGAATGTATGCATTCGAGATGCATGCATTCATGCATGTACATTTGTTGTTAGGGTATGATCTGAATGAATAATACAAATGAAAATTTCACAAATGCTTTCTTTTATTTTTGACAAATTATTACGTTAATTAAAAAGCAAATTCTGATGCCCGTACTTTTTTGTAGAAAAAAAAAATCAATGTCGTCGGCATATATAAATTGTTTCCTTTGATTGGAACAAAGTCGGTTTTAAAGGTTACGACTTGAATCTACCAACCTTTTTCTCTTCGTTTTGCCCAAATGCAGCTCATGAATGATTCTTTTGATATATAAATGTAAATAAGTGTTCGATTAAAAACGAAAATCGTTGGAACACGTTGATTAAAAACAAGGAAAAGAACTTTAGGTTCGAAAGAAGTTAATTCTTAAAAGTTGTGGGATCCAATATTCAGTTGATATATAACTTGTTTCAGGATAACTAGGAAACCAGCCTGCCTTCCGTTATTGTGTTCTAATAATAACTATAAGGGACACCCAAATATGCCTTATCAAAGTCAACATTTGATTTCGGGTAAGCTTTTTGCATGATAGGTAATTCTGGTTCTAGAATTTTTGGAATGGAACGACAGAAGAAGGCTGACAGTTCTTCTTTTTAGCTGTTGATCTTGGAATAATGGGATTGACTTTGTAAGATTGTATTGGCAAGACGAACATTTTCCATAGCCTGATTAAATAAGTTTCAATTCCTTTGACAAATTATTAAGTCAAAAATATAGTATTTCTTTAGGATGAAAAAAGATAGACTTGCAACTTTTTATGTTAAAAAATAAAACTAGAAGTACTAACTACTAAAAAATTTCAAAAAAAAAAAAATATATCTCAACTCATTTACGGTGGAGCCAAACGGGAATTATTAGAATAACAAGTCAGTAAAATTTAAATAGTTAAATACGAAACTTAAAAATTTAATCGAGTCTTTAGTTTTTAATATATTTAATATATATATATACACATACAAATAAATAATAAAAATATAATTTTAATTTCAATATTTATAATTTTGTTGAATTTTATTGAAGTCTATTGTGCTGAGTTTAAACTGTATAATTATATTAGAACTAAAATTCGAATATAAAATATAAAATTTGATTAATTTTGATTTGAAATTTATATTTTGAATGTTCAATCGAATCAACTTCGATTATTATAACATGTCGATTTGATTTGACTAGTCTCATTCTTTTAATACTTTTATTAATCAACCCCACCTCAAAATGAAATAGAAATAAAATTCCTTTCGTTAATTAGTTTCGAACTTTAATAAGTGATACTACTAGTTTTAATTCGAAACAATAGTAGTAACTGATTCTCACTTTTGTCATTTGTCCGTAATTGCTCTTCACGAAAATTTAGTAAAATTCTAAATTTGAATAGAAACGAATAAGTCAGTACAAAATGTCGTAACTTTTTTGTTTGAATTTTGAAACAAGGCGAATGGACCGGCCTTAGCAAACAAAAAGTCAAATGGACCGGCTTCCGCCGCGTGACGATTCTGTGGCTGTGGGGCTCATTCTCAGACCCTTTTAATATGTACTGGAATACAGTAAAAATGTCATAAATAATTTATTAATTATTTTTTAAACTTACCACCCTCTCCTTCCCTCTTACCTAACCATAACCCTAGCCCAATAACCCTAAAATTTCGTAATTTTCCTCTCTCATTCGTTAGTTATCTCCAGCCGTTTTAACAATGGCCGTACTATCGTCGACCTCAAAATCTCTACCTGACCAGAAACAACGTGTTTTCTTTTCGCATTTTAACGTTTTAGAGATTCTGGCTTGGTCCGGTGTCGGATCAAAAAATTTGTTAAAAAAATTCAACTGATTAAGGGGACTTGCGTATTTCTTGATGGTTTGGAAATGTAATTGTGAATTTTGATCGAGAAATTTGGTAGTATTTAAGTGATTTTGATTTCTTTTTACAGATTTAGTTAGGGATTCAAGAAATTTTGATTTTTCACTGTTGGTAGAAGTACAGAAAGTTTGGAGCTTTTGAAAAGTCAATGCAACAATTTTATTTGAATAATCAAATATTATTAGTGATTCAAAGGCAAGGAGGACAACAGGAAAGGAAGAAAATGAATAAAAATGGAAAAGCAGGCGGGTTCTTTCCGCATAATAAAACGGCGCCGTTGGACTTGGATAAGAAAACGGCCGTGAGGTTTTGGGTTTTGTTAACTGGTCAGCTTAACTTGAGTCTGCTTTGCTCATCCTTTCTTCTCCATTTTCTGGTTGATGAATTGAAGTGTTCAATTTCTTCAAATCCATTCAAGTCGTAACACCAAGCCTTTCCAGAAACCTGAGGTAAGTCAAAATTTTCCATTTATCGAAAAATTTCTAAACTTTTTCGAAATAGAAAAAGGAAAAACTATATACTACTACTAACTCTTTTCAAGTTTCCGTCTCCCTTTGCTTTTTTTTTTTTTTTTGGCTGTTTTGAAGTTGAATTTCCTTTAGATATATTCATAATAATGAGAATTATTTTTATCTAGAAATGGGTAAACATATGATTTTCATATATGCATGCTGGATGATTACTGTGGTTAAAAAGTTAAGCAATTAGTTGATGATGAATCGCCCGTTACTTATTTCGTTTACTTATTGTGATAGGCTTCTATTGGAAAGAGTATTATCTCAGCTGGAGTATTGTTTATTTTGGGATTTTATGGTTGATTATTATGATCATTAAAAGGGTCAACATGATTGATGAAATAGAAGCAAAAGTTGGGAAACCGACTCTGCCATCAGTATTGCCATCAGTGGTGGAAGATGGTTTTGAGATTGACTAGGAAGGAGAGACTGATGATAGCTGGGTAAAGGAGATTAACTGTCTGGAGTGGCAGAGCTTTGCTTTCCATCCAAGGCAGCTAATTGTTATTGTATTTGAGAGATACAACAGGTAACTCTTTTCCTCTCAAATTTATTGTGCTACTGCCTGTCTCTTTCAAATGATTTTTGCTCCAATTTTTGGAATATTGAGGCATGACACAGAGTTTTAGAGACTTATGTAGTCTTTGTGTATGCATTTTTTTTGCCAATTAATTTTGTCTGTTGTTCTCAAGAGCGTTCAGACAATAAAGTTCCTTAAGATGCATTCTGGTACTTCCTCGTGATGCATGATGTTTAATGCCTAATTATATTATGTTCTGACATGCTTGTGCATGTTATACAGGTGTATACCTTTCGAATATGTCTGTCATAAAGAATAATTTAATTATGATTTCCAACAGTTTATAAGGGAAAACATCCATTTGATTTTGTCAACAGGGCAACTCACAATTGGCAGACTTGAAAGAGCTGGAGAAGGCGATCCAGGTATATTGGAATGCCAACGACCGATTACCTTCTCGGGTATAAATCTTTGCTTTGTCTTTTATCTGAAAATACATTGTTGATAAAATATTAATCATGCTCCACAAACTTTTTTGACTCTCCATTTGGTTGCACGTAAGGTATAGTTCATGTATAAATCACTCGGTCCATTTGGTTGCCTGAGAAAGCAGAGTGTGTTCTACTTTGTTAGGGAAAGGTCTAAATTTCCTCAAATTGTTTTTTACTTGTTTATCTGCCAATAATAATGCCTTGAAATGTTCCTGGAAACAGGCAGTGAAACTGGATATCAATATTGAATTTGGCATATGCTCTTAAAGTCAGGGAATGCCCACAGATTTTATTTTTACGTGGAAACTGGATTGTATAGAGGGAGAAAGGTAGGTTGTGCATTTTTGCTTTTAAGAGTTACACAAAATATTGGTCTGCAAATTGCTGTGAACTTTCATCTGATGTTAAAATTTAATGAGGGTCTTCGCAGAGTTTCGCGTTGCTGATGAGTTGGTCCAAATGATTGCTTATTTCTACTATAATGCAAAGAAGCCTTCATGGATTGACGAGGCAGTCATATGTTAATCTACAATCAGGATTATGTTTATTCCTCATCCATTGTTCTTGATTCTTTTGGCTTCTGTTTTTCTTTGGGATAATGATTTGTATTCCTTCTGACCAGGGATTTCCTATTCTTTAATGAAGGTAAACCCCAAGCTTTATCCTTGCTGAACGTAATGGACACCTATGCTCAAGTGCAGATATGACACCATGTTGTGAAAAGCAGAAATTGACTTGGTCAACTCATATGTCACAGAAAAGAAGAAAAAAAAAAGTGGGATGGTGGAGACAGTGGTGACTTAATGGGGTCATATTCACACAGTTAGTTTTGAAAGAAGTATTCAATTCTTATATGATTGATAAAATAAGGTATAAATAAAATCAAGTTTTGAGGATTATTTTTTTATTCTTCAAAAAAATTTAAATTCATTTTTATGTTCTCTGATTTGATTAGAGAATTAAAAATAAAGATTTTTATAGTTTAATTATTTATTGTCAAATTAATCTTTAGGGCAATATTTAGATATGTAACAGGTAAATAAGGTAAAATTTTTTTTCATATTGTTTGATAATTAAAATAATTTTCATTAAAAATTAGTTTTTATATATTGTTTGTTTATTATTATTATTTTTTGTGAAAGAAGTTTTAAGCTTTGATCATATAACTTCTAATCTCACATAAATTCACCAAAAATTACATCAACTATTTTATTAAAAAATTTTGTTTGCTAAATGTTTATGTTTTTATTATTTATTTATTTATTATAAAAAAATTTATTAAATGAAGTTTAAGTATATTTTTTGGTTTACCAAAAATTTGATAAAATAGTTTTTGATTTTTTTACTAATTCAAAAATATCTAAGGGAGTGTTTGATATAGAGAAATCATTTCAAAAATCATGGTGATTTGTATATGATGATTAAATTATTATGTTTGATAAATACTTGATGATCTTATGTGATAGTAATTTTGAATCACTAAGAGTGATTGTATCATTATCTTAGAAAGTGATTTAATTCCTATTCAAAAGGGTAAGAAACTTTTATCATTAAGGTAAAATAATATGTAAAATTAATAATGCTTAATATTATCAATTTAATATGTGAATTAAAAAATTGATTTATTTTAAAATTATAATTATTTTATATTATAAATTTTTATA